CACAAAGCTAGTATGTTAATTGAAAAGATAAATGTGTTGCTTTAATCATATATATCTAGGTTATTCAAGACAAATCCAGCTGGACACAAGCAAGATCGCACTGTCAAGGAATAGGGGCGAATCTAGCGAGTATTCATTCCGATGCTGAATCCCTTCAACTTCTTTCAATTATAGGAAGGTAAATAGCGGTTTATCATATAATGAATTAGATTATTATCCTTCCTATTGAAAGAAATAGAAATGCATGGCAAACTAATAAAGTGATTTTGTTATTTTTTTAAAATCATCTTTCTGTGTTTATGTGTAAGGTAAAATTTAAACTCGTCATTACTCAAAAAGTAACCTCATTTTCATTTGATGTTGACTGATGATATATGAATTATCATATAACGAGTGAAAAAAGAATGGAGGCACACAAGGCGAGGACAACCCCCCCCCCCTGCTCTGGGAAAAGACATTTCTCAATTCTAAAAGTTCATGAAAGCTATATTTATACCCCACGCAACTAGTTGCGTGAGGTATAATGTTTTTGACCCGTCCGTCAGTCAGTCAGTCTATCTGTCAGTCAGTCAGTCAGTCCTTTTTTTGTCAGCGCAACTCCTCATAAACCGCTGCACAGAATTTCGTCAAACTTTGCAGGTATTTAGGACACTATGTGTAGATGTGCTTATTACCAGGAAATTCCAATTCCGTTATTATTTCTGGGAATTTCCGCACTTTTTAACTTAGGCATTTGGCCATACCTTGAATATAGAGATGAACAGTTTGTCAGCGCAACTCCTCATAAACTGCTGCACAGAATTTCGTCAAACTTTGCAGGTATTTAGGACACAATGTTTAGATATGCATATTACCAGGAAATTCCAATTCCATTATTTTTTCTGGGAATTTCCACACGTTTTAACTTAGGCATTTGGCCATACCTTGAATATAGAGATGAACAGTTTGTCAGCGCAACTCCTCATAAACTGCTGCACAGAATTTCGTCAAACTTTGCAGGTATTTAGGACACAATGTGTAGATGTGCATATTACCAGGAAATTCTTATTCCAATATTTTTTCTAGGAATTTCCGCACTTTTTAACTTAGGCATTTGGCCATACCTTGAATATAGAGATGAACAGTTTGTCAACGCAACTCCTCATAAACCGCTGCACAGAATTTCGTCAGACTTTGCAGATATTTAGGACATAATATGTAGATGTGCATATTACCAGGAAATTCCGATTCCTTTATTTTTTCTGGGAATTTCCACACTTTTCAACTTAGGCATTTGGCCATACCTTGAATATAGAGATGAACAGTTTGTCAGCGCAACTCCTCATAAACCACTGCACAGAATTTCGTCAAACTTTGCAGGTATTTAGGACACAATGTTTAGATATGCATATTACCAGGAAATTCCGATTCCATTATTTTTTCTGGGAATTTCCGCACTTTTTAACTTAGGCATTTGGCCATACCTTGAATATAGAGATGAACAGTTTGTCAGCGCAACTCCTCATAAACTGCTGCACAGAATTTCGTCAAACTTTGCAGGTATTTAGGACACAATGTGTAGATGTACATATTACCAGGAAATTCTTATTCCAATATTTTTTCTAGGAATTTCCGCACTTTTTAACTTAGGCATTTGGCCTTACCTTGAATATAGAGATGAACAGTTTGTCAACGCAACTCCTCATAAACCGCTGCACAGAATTTCGTCAAACTTTGCAGGTATTTAGGACACAATGTGTAGATGTGCATATTACCAGGAAATTCCGATTCCGTTATTTTTTCTGGGAATTTCTGCACTTTTTAACTTAGGCATTTGGCCATACCTTGAATATAGAGATGAACAGTTTGTCAACGCAACTCCTCATAAACCACTGCACAGAATTTCGTCAGACTTTGCAGATATTTAGGACATAATATGTAGATGTGCATATTACCAGGAAATTCCGATTCCTTTATTTTTTCTTAGAATTTCCACACTTTTCAACTTAGATTTTTGGCCATACCTTAAATATAGAGATGAACATTTTGTCAGCGCAACTCCTCATGAACCGCTGCACAGATTTTCGTCAAACTTTATAGATATTTAGGACACAGTGTGTAGATGTGCATATTACCAGGAAATTCCGATTCCTTTATTTTTCTGGGAATTTTGGCACTTTTCAAATTAGATTTTTGGCCATACCTTGAATATGCAGATGAACATTTTGTCAGCGCGACCCCCCATAAACCGCTGCACAGAATTTTGTCAAACTTTGGAGATATTTAAGGCACAGTGTGTGGATGTGCATATTACGAGGAAATTCCGATTCCTTTATTTTTCTGGGAATTTCGGCACTTTACAACTTAGATTTTTGGGGATATCTTGAATATAGTGGTGAACAGGTTTTCAGCGCAACTCCTCATAAACCACTGCACAGAATTTCATCAAACTTTGCATATTTAGGACACAATTTGTAGATGTGCATATTACAAGGAAATTCCGATTCTTTCATTTTTTCCGGGATTTTCAGCACTTTGAGTTTTGGGGGAGCGTGGGGTATGTGAGCTTGCTCACCTTTTCTTTCATTTTTTTTAAAATCATATGGTTTATATCATCTTTTACACATTTAATTATGCATTTCATTGTTTTAATATTTTATCAATAAATTAATCATTTGTCACTCATGTTTTTAAGATATGTGAAAAAGCTTTCACGTATGATTCTCTCTCCATAGCGCAGGGTTTGGCGAAAGACCCACCGCGTTAACTACTATGCTACGAAGCATATGGATTATCAGTGTCTGTCAGTGTGATTTAAATGAACGAGTTTATTAAAGTGTTTTTTTTAAATGTTCGATTTTCAGATGGAATGGGTTCAGATTCCATCTTTTGAACAAATGAAATAAAGAACGAGGGCGCTTTTGATTGGCATTCGGTAGGAATCTGGGCGTAATTGAAAAGTGAAAATTTTATCGACATGTCACATAAAATTTTAAGATTTTTTTTGATTATCGGGTTCCTGTGCAACAGGAAAGGAAAATATTTTCCCGAAATTGAGCTTTGATTTGCTACAAAATAAATTGAAAATTGGCCAGATCAGACATTTGCTACAAAATGGTACATTTTTAAACACGTTTTTCTAAACTTTTTCTATCTCTGGGTCTTCTCTCCATGATTTTGAAACGTTATTTTTGTGTATTTTAAATCAAAGAAACGAATACACTTTTTTAAAAAATGGAGAGAAGACCCAGAGATCACGAAACGAACTTTTCCCCAAAAATCCAAATGTGTGAATGTGGTGGTTCTTTGTCCTTTTAAAATCATATGTGTTTGTGTAGCGGTGAAAGCTCAGTAGGATGGGCTACCTGTTCAGTGCACTGGACTCGAAAAGTTTTTGGTTGGAGCCTGGAATGGGGCGTTAATTTTTTAGCTCTACTGGTCAGAGACCAGAAGAGCTTATGCGATAGTAATGCGTCCGTCGTCCGTCTGTCTATCCGTCTGTCTGTCTGTCTGTAAACAATTTTTCAAAATGCTACTCCTCCTACAGTTTTGGTCTGATTTCAATATAACTGGGCACACAAGTAGACTACCCTAACATACATAATTCTGTATATCGGTTTTTGATTTCGATGAACGGTGTTGCCGTGGTTACTAAAAATAGAAATTTCTGTGAAATTCTTTCAAAATGCTACTCCTTCTACAGTTTTAGTCTGATTTCAATATAACTTGGCACACAAGTAGACTACAATAAGATACATAATTCTGTGTATCAGTTTTTGATTTCGATGAACGATGTTGCCGTGGTTACTAAAAATAGAAATTTCTGTGAAATTCTTTCAAAATGCTACTCCTTCTACAGTTTTAGTCTGATTTCAATATAACTTGGCCCACAAGTAGACTACACTAAGATACACAATTCTGTATATCGGTTTTTGATTTCGATGAACGGTGTTGCCGTGGTTACTTGTCTGATTTCAATATAACTTGGCACACAAGTAGACTACACTAAGAAGCATAATTCTGTGTATCGGTTTTTGATTTCGATGAACGGTGTTACCGTGGTTACTAAAAATAGAAATTTCTGTGAAATTCTTTCAAAATGCTACTCCTTCTACAGTTTTAGTCTGATTTCAATATAACTTGGCCCACAAGTAGACTACACTAAGATACATAATTCTGTTTATCGGTTTTTGATTTCGATGAACGGTGATGCCGTGGTTACCAGTCTGATTTCAATATAACTTGGCACACAAGTAGACTACACTAAGATACATAATTCTGTGTATCGGTTTTTGATTTCGATGAACGGTGTTGCCGTGGTTACTAAAAATAGAAATTTCTGTGAAATTCTTTCAAAATGAGCTACTCCAAATACAATTTTAGTCTGATTATAATATAAATGTGGCATGCAAGTAGACTGCACTAAGAACATACAGAGACTTAATCAAGGATCATTATTCTATTTATTGCTGTTGAAAAGTTTCAATTTCCAACTGCTTAAGTACTTTCTTTGCTATAAGTACAAACCAGTAGAGCTTCAGTCTCGACAGAGACTTCTGGTTTCTTTCATGCAAACAACCATTTATTTTGTCAGTTTCGTTTTATGTACATATATATTAAAATTTTGAATTAGATTAATTTTGGTTCAGTTTGGTTCTCGACCGAAATCAATTCTAATCTTCTATTCTATATAATGTACATCATGTACACGTATGTATCAATATGCATTAAATATTTTAGGTGTTTATTTTTGTGAAACATTACTATGTTATAGTACCCCCTAGGAAAAACGGACAAAAATGTTACAATCTCACACTTTCAAACTAATTGAAAAAAAAACCTATGGACGTGTTTGTAAACTCTGACAAGCTATGTTCAGCCAACCAAATCATGGACATTTAAACAATAAATGTTTCGTACAAATGATTCCTGCAGATCACACGTCAAATGCGCCCATCTTCTTTCACATTAGCGTTTCCATCATTTAAGCGTTAACGAAGAATGGAGACTTGACTCATTCATGTTTAAAATTCATTTTTATGGCTCTAGTAAACCCATTTTCCACTAAAAATGTTGAACTGTCAACTTTGAAATAATGATTGTCAAATGATAAGTCGTTCAGTAAAATAAAATAATATAAAATGTTTTGAAGATATGACATTACTGAAAACATGACTTTAGAAAAAAATTAACCTTTCCGTGACTTTTCAAAATTGAGAAACAAATTATCTCAGAGCGGGAGATTGCCCACGCCATGTACGCCCTCTTTCTTTCATTATATCCCTCGCATTACTTATACAGCCTTGACATTCTCCTCAGTGTGATTTGATTTGTGTAAATTTTTAAAAGGGAGACTAAACAAAATATTGTCTCGCTGGATTTCTTTCAGTTTTGGGTTGTGTGTACTCATTGTTAACTGTATTACTATCGGTTTCAATGGCGATGAAGTGGCGATTACACATGTGGCAAAATGGAAAGCCAGATCTAAATAGATTTGGCGTTGTAACACGACAACATCACCGTCGTCTCCTTAATGGTTAAAAATCATTCCACTTACCGGTACTTTATGACGACGGATAAATGTATTCTAAAGTTGTTGGGAAAAAATTATAATAAACCGTACATTAATATTTTGTCGGCTTTTCCTTCACTTAGGTAATTGGATTAATTCACCCATCGGGAATTTCGCCAGACGTACCATAACAGCAAAGAAATAATTGACATTAAAAATATTGAAAAAAAAATGTGTGTACCCCAGAGCACAAAGTTATACAACAAAAGTGAGCTTCTCGATCACAATTTGTCACTCCTCCGTCCGTCTGTCTGTCTGTCTGTCTGTATACCTTTCACATTTTTGACTTCTTCTAAAGAACAACTGGGCAAATTTTAACCACATACAAAGCATCCTTGGGTAAAGTGGAGTTTAAATTGTTAAATTGAAGGGCCAAGTAAAATCACAAAGGGGATATAATCAAGAAAAGAGAAAAAATAGGGTGTCATTAAAAAATCTTCTCAAGAACAACAGGGTCAGAAAAGCTGAAACTTATGTGGAAGCATCCTGGGGTAGTGTAGATTCTAAATTGTTCAAACCACGGCCCCCAGGGGTAGGGCGGGGCTTCAATAGGGAATTCAATTTTTACTTTGAAATATATAGGAAAAATCTTTAAAACTCTTCTTCTGAAGAACCAGTGGGCAAGAAAACCTGAAACTTATCTGGAAGCTTACTGGGATAGTGTAGATTCAAAATTGTTCATATTATGATCCTGGGGATAGGGCGCGGCCGGGATAGGAAATCCCACGTTTTCTATTGAAATATATAAAGAAAATGTTTAAAAATCGTCTTAAGAACCACTCGCACAGAAAAACTGAATCGTATGTGGAAGCCCGCCCCACTGGTTAGTGTAGATTCTTATTTATCCAAGTCAAGACCCATGGGGGTAGGATATGCCAGAATAGGCATAACGGGGAGATCTGATTAAAAAAAAACAGCATTGCCAAATTTACTCAGGTGAGCGATGTTGCCCATGGGTCTCTTATTTCACATCGAGACTTTGACGATTGAGAAAGTTACATTGTACATAAAACGGTTTGTTTTATGCTTCCAATTATAACAGATATTTGAAGCAACATCATTTCTAAATTTTGTCCTAGCTTACCATGAAGATTCCACAATAAGAATTCTATTTTAAGACAGTAACTTACAACAACTTCTGTATTAGATGTATCGGTATTTTAAAATCTCTGTTGTTTTTCTCAGGCTTACGGCGCAAGATTTCTGGATTGGGCTAAATGACAGGGAGAAAGAGGGAGGTATTTATAATCAAAAAAATATTTTTTTTTTGGTATAGGGATAAAATGATAGAAATAAAATTCCATTTTCGATAACAAAAAAAAGTAAATTAATACTTTAGATTGGCAATGGTCAGATGGAACACCCTTAGATTACAAAAAATGGCTGACATCTCAACCAGATAATTGGCAGGGTTATGAGAACTGCGCCACGTACCGACGAACCAACAGAGGGTTTAATGATCTCTTTTGTGTAACTAAACTTCCATTCATTTGCAAAGTAGAAAAAGGTAAGTGTTTACTATCTTTAAAATGGTCAGAATATTTTTATGCCCCCGTGAACGAAGTATCGGGGTATGTAGTTTTTGTCGTGTCTCTCTCTCTCTCTCTGTCTTTTTGTTTGTTTGTCTGCAGAAAAATTAACATTTCCCACAAATTTTGATTTAGTGGAGCTATGACTTTCATATTTCACATGTGTTTTCTCTGTGACAAGACGTTTCTTTGGGTACCACCAAATATGACCTTTTGACCTTGGAGTTTGACCCACTTTTACACAAAAATTCCAAACTTTTAGTTTGGCCATATCTTTTGAACAGTAGATACCAGGACATTTACACTTCACATATGTATTTTTTGTGGAAAACCTCCACTGGATACCAACAACCTTGATATTGGAGATCTCTGTACTGTAAAAAGTGTAAACTTGGCCATGACTTTTGAACGCTAAGGACTAGTGATTTCATACTTCGCATGTAATTATATGTAATTCTTGTGAGAAGACCCTTTATTGGATACCAAGAACTTTGACCCTTTGACTTTGACCTTGGAGTTGACCTACTTCTAAAAAGCAAATCTTGACCATACCTTTTAAAGGATTAGGGTTAGTACTTTCATACTTCACATATTTAATCCTTGTGACAAGATCTTTCTTTTGATACCTTTGACCCTTTGACATTGTCCTTAGATTTTGGCCTTTTAAAAAAATTAACCTTGGTCATAACTTTTGAAGGGTTAGGGCTAGGGCTTCCAAACTTCATATATGTATTTTTTGCGAGACTTTCATTAGATACCAATTACCTTGATCTTTTGACCTTGATATTGGAGATTTCTATACTTATGAAAATTTTAACCTTGGCCTACGTTCATATTTTACAATTGTATTTTCAGTGAGAATACCCTACTTTTGGTTCCAATATATTAAATGTGCATTTTAAAAAAATTCTTCGCTTAGTTTCACAAACACATCTTGTTTTTATGTACTACTACTCATAACTCATAGATTTTTAAACTCTGTTTTGCAGACTTTATGACTACCATTTTCAATACTTTTAGAGATCGGGGATGGGGTATATATTGTTTAACGTCCCTCTCGAGAGTTTTTCACTCATATGGATGGGGGATGAGCCGGGGTAATTGAAATAAGTAAATGAAATTTACTGAAAATAAATACATTTTGTAAAGTATATGAAATTGAATTTTTTTGTAATAAAACATTAAGTTTGCTATCAATGAAAAGTTATTGAAGGTATTTAAAAATATTCATAAATGTCATGAATTTTCAATTACATTGCAAATACTTAATTTTTCAAGTAAAAACTCTTAAAAGGTGTTTTATAATGATGTATACCAGTATTATTTAGCATTAGCTTATGTCTATTCAATAATTAAATGCTTAACAATGTTTATATAGCATAACACACTGCCCAAAACAATGAGAAAGATTAAATTTGATAATATTGCTGCTTCTAAATATTCCCATATATGTTCTTCAATTTTGTTGGAAAGAAAACGGAAGTAACTGAATTCATTAAATATGTTTTTTTTTAATTACTTGCTTGAAGGTAATAGAGGATTAATTATTATATTTGTTAAAATCAATGCATTTTAATTGCAAGTAATTGAAAAAAAAATCAATGTATTTGAAATTATTTAATTACATTTCAAGTAATTGACCACATCCCAGATGATTCTTCTCAGTGTTTTAATTGGTTTAAGAAAATTTATTCTCCATGCAATGGA